GTGAGCTATGAGGAGGATACGAGAGAAAGCAGATCCCCTGCCTGGCCTGGGGGCCTGAGGAAGTGCCCCACAAGCATGGCTGCTGAGGTGACATATAAGCCTGACTGTCCTGCCTGGGTGCTGTGGATACCCTAGAAGCCCTGAGCTGTGTGGTGGTGGAAACATTCCTGGAGTAAACAGAGATGAGGTGCTCTAGTTACTCTGCCAGGGACCAGCAGCCTTGGGGCTCTACGCAGCAACTTGGTTGAAGCCCAGAGTGCTTGAAGCAGCCAAGAAGCCCCCAGCACATCACATGACAGTGACTAAACCCAAGAGCTGACACTGCCTGTCACACTCTTTCTGCTGTGGCTGTTATACCTGATCTCTGAGACTCTGCCAGGCAGCTGGCAATGGTAACAAGTGCCTAGTATCCTCGATCCTTCAAGACCCTGATATAAGATCAGGGAAATACAGAGGACAGCAGAGGCAAGAAGCCAACCCAGGAGGCCCGACTCTGGGCAAGGCCTTACCACACCTCTGATGAGGCTGGCACAGCCACAGGGAAGCACAGGGAGGGTACAAGGAGCCTGTGCAGAGGACAGTCACAGACTCTAGAGCAGGTGGGCAAGAGGCCAGCATCCCTGAATCCCAGCAGCTGCCAGAGTCAGCAACTGTGGCCTGGCCTGGCCCTGAGAATAGGCTGTGGCCCCTTTTAAAGGGCCAGTGACAGGACAGGGCCTTCCTCAGGGCTGACCCTCCTCCTTCTCACCAGTTCAGAGTTCTCCAGTATTTGGGCAGGTGGTTTAGGAACACTCAAAGGAGCAGGGGACACTCCCTTCCCTGAGATATCAGCATGAACTTACCAAGAGTTCATCATCTTCAAACCTGATTCTAGAAAATAGCAAACTACTTCTCTAGCAGAAACTTAATTTAGGATAGCTAGCTTAGGAATTAACCTTGACCATCTTGGGGGGAAGGGTCAGAGCTTAAGGATACAGAGCAGATGGAACTAGAGAATTCCAGTCTATGGTCCTCAGAGTCCTGGCCAAATATGACTCCTGACACATTTCAGGGTTGGGGGAATTCATCTCTGTTGTACCTTACACAGTGGAGTTGTTAGGAGAGATGAGACTCGGTATGTCTGCCCAGATACGAACATGGACAATGCCAATTTCTCTGCAATCATGGGTTTCCAAACCCATGTACACCATTCCCAGAATCAAAGCAATACTGTTTCTGGCTTTTGACTCTACATCTCATTACAAAGAAGAGCAGGCCGTGAGTGGCTCTCAGACGCCACCTCAGACACGCTGATTCTCCTTCTCAGCCTTTCTTCCTTGTGTGGGAGAGCTGAGATCACACGAGATACACAGTTTCACCCTCAACTGTTTGCTTTTATTTTTTATTTTATGTGTACAAGTGTTTTCATGTATACCTGTGCACATGTGCACCTGGTGTCTGGGGGCATCGAAAGTGGACATCCAATTCCCCTGGAGCTGGAGTTACAGGTTGTGAGCCACCATGTGGGTGCTGGGAATCAGACCTTTGGAAGAGCAGCCAGTGCTCTTCATCATTCAGCCTTCTCTCCAGCTCCCTTCTGCTGTTTCTTAATGAAACTGGTTTTCTTAAACATTTCCTGCTAACACTGAGAGGTCATCATATCCATTGTTAATGCCTCCCACCCACCCTCACCTAAGGTGCAAGTTTCAAGAAACTGATAGTTTTCCCATGTTTTCATTTGCTGCAAAGTCTCAGAGCCTGGAGCAGTGTAGGTGCATGGTGGGCACCTAGTAAATATTTCCAGGATGAATGCATGATTTTTCGCATCCTTCAACCCCTCTGGCTGGTGATCTGCTCTGCTGTTAGTGGTGCCCAAGCAGACAGCTTGTGGCCACATGCTACCCTTCCTTGGATAGGAGGAGCAAATGCCATATTCCAAGTGTACCAAATACTCTCCTTGACCCTGGATGGGTGTCTGTCCTTCTCACATCCGGAGCATCCATGGGTCCCTTCCAGCTACATACAGAGTAGCCGTGGAGCAAAAGGTGGTTGAGCAAGGCCTCTAGGCCTCCACCTGTTATGAGCTGAATTCACACAGTGCAGTCCTGACCCCAACACCTTAGACTGTGAATGTATATGGAGATGAGACTTTGACAGAGGTCATCAAGATAAAAATGAGGTCACTCTCATGCCCTCATCCAATCAGCATGGTGTCCTTAGAAGAGGAGGATATCAGAACACAGACACACAGAGGAAAAACTCTGTGAGGACACAGGGAGGAGACATTGTCTACAAGCCAGGGAGAGAGATCAGCCTGCTGATGCCTTGATCTTGATTGTTTGGGCTCTAGCACTGTCCAAAAATAAAATCCCTTTCTCCATAAAGTCCCTGGTCTGTGGCACCTAGTTATAAAATCAAACACACACACACACACACACACACACACACACACACACACACACACACTCCTTTACCTTAACTCAGACAGGCCAAAGCCACCTCCAGGGTCATCTAGGCTTAGCAAGTACACAGGCCTTCAAGACCCAGTGTCTGCTAGCAGATGCAACACAGAGTTCATCATGTCCACTCCTGGTTCAGATGCCTTCCCAGCCCCCTTACCCCACTGTGGTCACATGGGCTGCAGTGCAAAGAAGCAACCTCTGCTCCCAATACCACCTTACAGGCCCACTGTGTGAAGGCTGGCACTGCACACACAACTATAGAGATTCCTCCAACAGTTGGGGTAACTGGAGTACAGAGAACTGCATGGCTAGGATACTGGATTCAGATCAAGACCAGCCAGCCATGGAGCATCACGTCTCCTACCTTGCTTTGGTGTTCTTTAAACCCTTCCCTAGCCACTTGAGATCAACAGACAACCACAGCCAGGGTGGCATCCACAGGCCTCAGTGTCACACCAGGTCCAGCATGGAGTAGCACTGTGCTGCCAGACCCCAGCAGCAGCCACTCTGTCTTCATCACAACCGAGGAGGTACTTAGCCCAAGAGGTTTGTACAGGTTGCTAGGCGCTCCCATCACTGCCGGTCTGCATGGTCAGGACCAGTATCACTCTGTGACACCTGCCTGGGCCAGGCCCCAGAATGATGCCAGCCTTTCCCAGGGGCACAGGGACGTCTTTCCCTGTTGACAATGAAAACTCCTGAGCTGCTGGATGTACACAGCAGCCACACACTAGAACCCACATGCCTCTGTTCACTCCCCTCCACTGTAAATGACTCCTCACTGTGTATGTAATAAGATGGCCAGAGCCAAAACATGAGAGATAGGCAAACCAGACAACACTTGAGCTCCGTTTTCCAAAAGGAAATGACAATTCCATCCACAATTCCAGCAATGACAATGGCCATCCACACTCCTGAGGGCTGCTGTGTGCAGGGTTTTCCTGATTAGAGGGGAACCGAAGTTCCAGATGAGCAGGCCATGACTGGGAAGATGCCCCAGTGCCAAGACCATCAGACAAGAAACACACTACAGCTCAAAACCCAGTCTCCTTGCCATAACAACCCTAGCGCACCTCCCCGGGGACAAAAACTACAAATGCCGGGAGTGGGCACTTGGAGTGGATACTTGTGCTCCCTCTGAAGGCACCTGATTACAGGAGAGCCAGAGGTATCAATTATGGTCTGAAAGCATGAAATTACTCTACATGCACCCAGTCATTATCCCCACCGCCATTAGATAAATGTCTGGAGGTCCTGCCAAGTCTAAGGATGCCCTCCCCATTCACACCCCCCCCATACACACCCAGGTAACAGGTTGGCCAACTCAGGAGGGATCCTGCTTCCCATGCCACTTGCTCTTAGTTACTCTCAACATCCACTGCAGAAGTTCCTCCTTCCTTGGCTAGGAAGGAGAGGGGACAGCCTCCAGGAGGAGGTACTCCAGGCTGAGAGCTGTCCCCAGGCTCCATCCCTCCCTATCCACTTTCTCCCAGAGGATGCAGCTGTACATATTGGTTGATGCAATGCGACCAAGGGCCACACTGCTGTCAGTAGCAGCTTGGGCTTAGGGTGGGGGGTGGGGAGCATGCTGGAATCAAGAAGTCCTGGGTTCAAATCTCTATCACTTGCCAGAACTCAAGTCATTGAAGTCTGGCTGTAGCTCCTGAAAATGGAGGTCTGCCCTCTCTGCTAGGGAATGCAAGCATCAGCCCTCCCCACTGGCCACACTCTCAAGGCTATCAGATGGGTGCATCCTGAGGTGATGCTCAGATGCTCCGCTTCTGAGCCAAAATCTTCCAGTTCTAGATCTCAGTTTCTCTCTGAGCACAGGCGCTGCTGGGTTGCAGGGAAGTAGGATTTTCCAGCATCGCACAGAGGCTGTCAGATCCCTTTGGGTGGGTGCGGCGGGAAAGGCAGGACTGATTCTATCAGGACTGAGGGACTGGAAGGACTTCGCACACAGACAGAGCCGGGACCGACACACACACACACACACACACACACACACACACACACACACACACACACACACACACACACACACACACACACACAGAGTCTCTGGCACTCAGATCTGCAGCGGCAAACCTGGGGCACGCAGGGTCTGCCAGACGCCACCACCCAGGCGCTGCGGGAACCGCGCAAGGGCGGAGTCCCCTGCTGCAAAGCTCCGCCTGTCATCACACCTCTCTCCGCCGTTAAGACTGCGGTGACCCAGGGTCCCTTAACAGGACCCAGGTCCTTTACTGAAGCAACCTGGAACTGCCCCGCCAACAGCCCCCCCCCCCACCGCGAGAAGCAAGGAGTGGCGCCTGCCAGACATCTCTGCGCAGCTACCCTAGCTGGCACTGAGGGAAGGGAGCCTGGCACACGCCACGGAGCTCCGCGACCGCAGCTCAGGGACAGAGGTTAAGGGCCGGCCTTTCGGGGCTGCACACCCTGGAGCAAAAGTTGGGTGGAGCCACTGGGCTCAGGGCTCTGCACTGCAGGTACAGCCTGATTGCTACCCAGTCAAGACCTGCTGCTCTGAACCCGTGGATCCCCAGTCGCAGCACTCACCTGCACTCATGTCAGCGGCAGCTCCTTATAGGGCGGTCCTCGCGCTGCGACAGCCCGACTAGCGGGCTCGCAGATGCGGCGCTCGCACGATCCTCGGCGCGCCAGTGGCCAGAGGCTCGGAGCACCCTCTGCCCGCAGCGCCACCGCAGATCGGGGCTCCCGCCCCGCCCCCTCTCCCCGCCCCGCCCCTTAATTAGGCCCCTCCCCCTGTCGAGCCGCGGGAGGGTCGCACCCTGGGAAGTGTAGGCGCCGCACCCCCACAGCCAGCCTGCGTGACACCGCGGTTGAACGGGAGGACTACAAGTTCCAGCAGGCTGTGCGGAATGCGCAGGCGCAGCTAGAGGTAGGGCAGGTGTCCTCCCGCACCTGCTTCTAGAGATCTACAGAGCTGTCAACACGGTCTAAGGCAGACAAGGGGACTGTGGTTCATCTCAGTACCGGGATCGCGAAGAGGGAGGCGCAGGGAAAAGAGATCTTGAAGTAACTCTACTGCAGTCTCTCTCTCTCTCTCTCTCTCTCTCTCTCTCTCTCTCTCTCTCTCTCTCTCTCTCTCTCACACACACACACACACACACACACACACACACACACAGACAGGTTGGGATTCCCGCGCAGGTGTCTGGACTCCCGGGCTAAGCTGTTGGCCACCTCGCCTTACGCCCCAGGCGTCGCTCACACAGCTCGGCTGACGCTGGGCGGTGCAAACTGAGAAGACGCTGGCATATCCTGCCCACTCGCCATCCTGCCCACCCGGTGACCGAGTCCCTTGTGACGTCAGGCTCCAGCACAGGGCCTGGAAACAGACTGAAAGGAGATTCTGCATGGGAAGGCTCAGGTGGATTCTGCCGTGCGCCGGTGGTGACAACAGGTGGGCACAAGAGATTGAGAAGAGACAGACTAGAGAGAGGATAGAGCGCGAATGCGGATACAGGACCGCCACTGCAAGGAGAGGCACGGGCCAGGGGCATTTGGCCCCAGTCAGGGCTGTTCGAAGTAGTACTGAGGCAGGAGCAGAAATTCCTCCCCAACGATCAGCATCACCCATCTATTTCAAAAGGGACCAGGAAGCCAGAGGCTGTGAAGAGCAGAAGCCTTGGGGGGGGGGCAGCATATTCCTCCACATCCGGTAAACCAGGAGATGCTGCTGGCAGCTGTTCTTACAGCAGCATGTGCCCACAAAGGGCGGGCTCTGACACTGGGATCTCTTGCCCAGAAAAACCAAAATCACCCAGAAAGTTGATAACCAAGGTAGGGCTGACCCAGCTGCAACTTATCCATGCACAGAACCCTGCAGGGCTGGATTTGACTTGTAGCAAGTGAGTCTATTTGAATAGATTACATTTAGACCTTTGTTCTGAGTCTACAGGGCTGTGGCCCATGGGTGACCTCAGCCACTTGCTTTCTCTCAATGCCTCAGTTTCCTTACTTTTATAGTCTCAATGAATACCCTTGGGTTAAATGACTAATACAAGGAAAACTGTTCAAAGCTGCTAGCATAGAGCCAATGCTGAATAAACAGTAGTCAAGATGACAGTGGTTTTGACCAAGGGGTAAATGTGGGCCATCACCCCCTCAAAGGATGGCCAGTCTCACAGGGATCCATTCATGATTTCAGTCAACAATGACTTGGGAAAATCAAGTCCCATGATTCTCTGTTGTCAGATTCCACTGCTGCTGTTTCAGCAGCCTGCCTGGAGAGGGCACCAGAGGCTTCAGAGAGGTCAAGGAAACTCTTTGCACCCTTTACAGTCAGACCATGGCCCTCTCACTGACTCAGGACCAGATGCAGATGAGATACAGGAGACACATTCTTTATCAACCTCCAGAACCATGAGCCAAACAGACTTCTACTTTTAAAAACCTACCTGGCTCAGGTGTATTGTCACAGCAACACAATATGGCCTAACATAGGGCATTCAACTTGGCTAGTCAGAAAACCCTTCTGGAAGAAGAAATGGAGCTTTTCTAGGCACCAGAGCACCAAGAGAGGGATGGGTGTGGTCCAACCCTTGGGGCTGCTGGCAAGTTCAGGATGCATCATCGGCACCTGCCCTTTTGGGGAGGCTTCGTCTGCACACTGCTGCCTCTCATGGGATCTGCCTTCTTTGGGATCAGGAAACATTAAAGACAAGCGCATGCACATTCCCCTGTATTCTGATCTGGTGTTCTCCTCACTTACAGCCCGGGTTCTGGGGAGATCTCTGTGTTATCAGGCCTGGATTTGGAGCTGCTAGATCATTCAAAACCATGCCCAAAGAAAGGGATGGATGCACAGGAGATAGGACAGGATTGTCAGTGAGCCATAGGGACATCCAAGGGTGCTATGTCACTCCAGCCCAGGAGTCCTGTCCCTCTGGCAGACAGGAATGCCCACTCTTCTGCAAGGCACAGGCTAACTCTATGGGCTCTAGTTAAGCCTCCTCCCTGTAGCGGCTTCTCCTGAACCCTGCTAAGTGAGTGCCATCCATGCCGAGGGCCTTGCCGATCCTGCCATGACACTTCAAAGCTTCGGTGTCCATCTCCTGCCTGGTTCCATCACCAGCATCGGAACTGCCAGGTGACATTAAGCCTTCCTCATCTTAGTGTCCATGGTGCACCTTCTGGTCTGTAGAGACCCCTGGGGTCACTAGTCCAGAGGAAAGGGGGCCACCACTGAACTATGGGGTCAATGTGTGTCCCACATTGGTACTCCACTGACACCCCTACTCCATAAAAGAAAGAGGCCAGGCCTGCCAAGCCTCTTTAGCTTCCTGGCCCTCTCCCTGGGCCTGAGGAAGTTTCCCCTAGAGTGATTCTGGGCAGGGTGCCACAAGGCAGCAAGGCTCACCTGGGACCCGGTCTAGGAAGGCATGGGTCTGGAAATGTAGCAGTGCTTAGTTCCCACCTGTAAGGGACAGCTCCTCCCCAGGGTTAGGACCCGACTAAGCTGTGGCCCCACAAGGAGCTGAAGCATTGATCTGCTTCACAGTCCAGGAGAGAAACAAATGAAATAGATTGTCATTGTGGGCCTTCCCAACCACTAAATAATTTAAAGTCATGCCACGTGAAACCAAGACAGAGGCCAGCAGCCAACTCACTGCTCTGCACTGCCCTCTCAAAGACAGTCTCCACAGCCAGGCGGTGGTGGCGCACACCTTTAACCCCAGCACTGGGGAGACCGAGGCAGGTGGTTCTCTGTGAGTTCAAGGCCAGCCTGCTCTACACAGCAACTTACAGGACAGCCAGGGCTACATAGATAAACCCTGTCTTGAAAAACAAACAAAAGCAGTGTCTACACCTGGGCAGGCAGTTGAGACCAATCTTATCTCACCTAAGTCCCTCCTGGGGAACAGAAAAAGAGAGGGATTCAGGGTTGATGGCCATCAGCCTAGACTTTTCCTGCTCCCCACTGCTGCCAATGTGAAGCGATCTGTAGGTGCAACAGGGTGTCTTCCCTCACTGAATGGTCATGGCCCATGGTTGACCTGAGAGCCAGAAAGAGGCAGAGCATAAGGTCGCATCTGAGAAATAATACACACGAGGCCCCAAACTGCTAGCCACTGGATGAATTGGACGCATGCAGCAGAAGCAGAGGAGGGGGTAGGAGCATGTAAGTGGGAGGGCAATGGATGAACTGGCCCCCGGGGTGGGGTGGGGGAGTAACAAATACCACAGGCGGTGCTGAAGGTGGCTTGAGCCCCTTGGAAATCTGTCTTCTCCTAAACTGAAAAGATGGAAGCTCACGGTCAGGATGGCCAGAGGGCTGCCCTGTGTGAGGCTGCTTTGTTCTGGGCACTCTCCTTGACTTATCAGGAGCCACCCTCCCTCTTCATGCTCAGCCCTTGCTCTCTGTGTCTCCATCACACTCCCCCTCCTATAAGGATCCAGCTGTGCTGGGTCGAGGGCCATCCTAGTCTGCCCATCTTAACTCTCATCCTCAACAACCTTGTCAAAGTCACATGTTGTGATGGCTAACACTGATTGTCAACTTGAAAAAGTCTAGAACCACCTCAGCCCCTGTGCATGGGAGGGAGTCTGTAGAAGCATGGCTGAGGTGGGAGGAGCCACCCTGAATGTGGGCAGTGCTGTGGTCAGTACCAAACTGAATCAACAAGAAGAGAGGGAGCCGAGCACCGTCGGTCATTTCTCTGTGCTTTCCTGGTGGTGGACACAAAGCAATTCCTCAGGCTCTTACCCCATGCCTTTCTACCATGATGGATTGTATCCCTTGAGCCACAATAAACCTGCCTCCCTTAAGTTGCTATAGCATGAGACTCTTAACCTCAGGGGCGTGCGTTCGTGCCCCACATTGGGCGCCATTTTGTAACTGGAGTTTCTTGTCCTGTCAGGTCCTGCTGCCCTTCTCAGCCCCAAATAAACACAGGGATGCTATAATAGTTATAAAAAAAACTGCTGGCCAATGGCTAGGGCCTCTTATTGGCTCTGTCTTAATTATTAACCCATTTCTATAAATCTATGTATTTCCACGTGCTGTAGGCTTACTAGAGAATGCCTGGACCTGTTACTCCTTTGGCTACATGGCATCTCCACAGGGGTGGGCCCAGTGAATGCACAACATATGCATATGGAAGTCAGAGGGCAACCTCAGACGGCTTAAGGTGTCTTTCTCTTTTCATATAGTTTCCCTTGTTGCCCTAGACCAGTGGCTCTTAGCCTTCCTAATGGTGTAACCCTTTGATACAGTTCCTCATGTTGTAGTAACCCCCAACCATAGAATTGCTTTCGGTGTTACTTTATAACTGTAATTTTGTGGTTACAAACCCTAATATCTGTGGGTTTTTTTTTTTTGATGGCATTAGATGACCCCTGTGAAAGGGTCATTTGACCCCCAAAGGGTTGCAATGCACAGGTTGATAGCCACTGCCCTAGAACCTTGCTACATAGTCCTGGTCCATGAGCCTCCAGGGATCCACTGTCTCATCTCTCATCACACCATCGCTGGCATTCTGAGCACGCACCACCACAGCCAGCTTTTTACATGGATTCTGGATGTCTGAACTCAGCTCCTCATCCCGTGAGGCAAGCCCTTTGCTGATGGAATCATCGGCTATTCTTGTCTCAGCAACAGAAGAAATAACTAATGACATGTTGAGATTCTGATAACTAGACTTTCAGTGTGTGAACTTTGGGAAGACAAAAATCAGACACAGTACATCTC